AATGTTTAAACAATCACCACGGCTCACCTAATCGTCCGATTTGAATTTTTCAAAAACCATTTTAAAGCTTGAGAGCTCTTCTTTTTGTGGTGAAATTTTCAAGTATTCAAAGGCTTTAGATTTTTAGAAATTTGATTTTGAAAATTTTTTAATTTAAAAAAAATAAAAAATTTAAACAATTATTATGTAAAAATTATCTAACCGAATTGGATGAAATTTGGTGTGATGATTCTATGCACTAAGAAGTTTAATTGGGAAAAGTATGAAGATCCTAGGTATTATTCAAGTGTCTGAAAAAAATTTGCAAATAAACTAGCATTTTTTGCAATTTTTTAAATGATTTTTCCGATTTTTGCAACAACAATAATTATTTGTTGGAATTGCAACTAACTCTATCTTGTTCTAAATTTAATTACAAAACTTTTTTTCCTCTTCCATTTCTGTCTAAAATGAATAGTTGCTAAGTTGTCGACGAGAAATCCAATAAAAAAATGAATTTTTTTGCTATTTTTTTATACTTTTTTGCAATAACAATTAAGCCCAGGTTTTTTTTATTTGCATAGAAAAATTATCATTTCTGATTCTATTTAGAAGCCATTAAAGCAAAAATCCCCGATCATATGCGTTTTACCCAAGTACACCCTTTGAAAGACAGATATCGCCTGGACTATAAGGGACCAATTTCCGAGCAGTAGTTAATTTTACGACCGACGATTGTCCTGCATCTCGTGATCTCAACCGATTACTAATTTTACATACGGACAGGCAACACAACATACACCGGCCTGTAGAGAGTGTTGCCTCACTAATAAAACTAAAGTGCTATCTCATGAATGAATTACCTGAACAATTCCCCCGCAGTTTCTTATCGCCCTGTTCTCCAACGTGCCCGTTGATCTTCTCGAACTCCTCGTCGTCCAAAATCACACTGTCCCCGTCCGACTGATTGAATTCGCGCCTCAGTAAATCACCGCCAAGAGCGCCTTCTAAGTTCGTAAAGTTCTCCTGGGAGAGTTTTCGGAACATGTTAGTCACCCTGATCGGGGTGCCCGGTCTGATGTTCAGGGACCTCTTGGCGGATACGGCGCTGTTAAATAACTGCTTCTGGAACTCTTCGTGTTCCGTCACGGACTTGGGTTCCAGGGACAACTGTCTTTCTAATTTTTTCTGGGCGTATTCGAGGAGGTTGATTTGTGGGGGGATGTTGACCACGTCGAAATGGGACCTCATCAGACGAGGGCGGTGGTTTTTCGTCGCCGACGCCTTGGCTTTGTCTAGGTAGGTGGTGATCTCGTCTTGAACGCGTTTTTTTATTATATCCATCATGATCGCTTTGTCGTTATCTTTGGCTGTTACGTCGTTGTCGGTTTGGGGTCCGTTTGCAGTTGTAACGGCGTTGCTACTTTCTTTGTCGGCTCTTTCTTCGCCAGCTCTGAAGCCTGTTAGGTGCGTTGGAATTTGAAAAATTAAAAGTTTCTTTTCATAAACGGGAAATAATCTAGGTATAAAGTGTCTATGTAACATTTCTTTTTATAGTCCGGGGAACCAAGGGTTTCCCCTCCGAATTCTTTCGGATAGAACCGATTGACGTAAAACTTTGGACTGTAAATAGAGAATAGCTCAAGAAACAAAAGTTGTAATAGACCGATCGAAATATCTCATTTAGAAGGAAAAAAAAGAAGAAAATTGTTACCTGGACTTTTATAAGTGGAAATGGTAAAGGGGCTTATAATGAACGAAAAAAATAATAATTGCGTGAGCAGAGGTGGCGGAGGGTTGATTTGGGGGGTTGAAAAGTTGTAGAAAATTGTATCATTGGGAGTTCTGGCGAAAGTTGACGTCAAACAAAATAATATCCAATACAAAAGTTGTAGACCATGCAAAAATCTACAACTTTTGTAGGAGTCACTTTTTAAGATAACCTCAAAATTTCCGCGAAAAATGCGAAAAACAATTTTCTTTCTTATTTTTCGTTTTTTATTTCTCATTTCCGCAAAAATAATTTAATTTTGACGAAACTTCGTGAATGTATACCTTTCTGTGTCTTAAATATCCACAAATTTTTTTAGAAAAAAAAATCGGGAAGTTTCCGAGATATTCATTTTTTCCGGTCTAAAACACTTTTTTCAAAGAAAATTGTAAAATCATCGTACAGAGTTCTGCCAGTGATCATTTTTTTCGTTTTGACATATACTTTTTACTTGGTGAAAAATATCTGTAATCACAGTTCAAAAACATGCTCAAAAATACAAAAAAAAATGACGCAACAATAATTTTTCAGTAATTGTTGTTAAATTTAAAAAAATCAAAAATTTATTACGCCATTCAATTGTACGGAAAAAATACAAAAAAAAACTGTCTCATTGTTTGACCCAAAACTTAATTTTTGTACAGTATTGCTATAAACATAAGTCGAATAGTGAATAAATAAAATAAATAATAATTTTTTTCAATAGGATCGATTAGTGTACTTATTTTTTTTAATTTTGATGAATTCATAGATATACAGTGTGTTCAAGATAAGGATGGGATGGGATCTAGGAAACGTAAGAAATACGATCATATTAGAAAAATGTTGTTTTTTATACCTACCAATATGCCGTTTAGAAAGTTTTAAAATTCCGGGCAGTTCCGAAGATATCCGGAAAAACCCGAAATTTTGCAAAACTGTGATTTTTTTCCTGGATGTATTTGAAAACGAATTTTAAAATAAATAGCAATACTTATTAGAAATAATAAAACATTTCATTTATTCGTATTATTTTTTTATTATATACAACTTTTTAAATTATTGATTAAAAAAAATTGTTGGATATTTTGTGCTGTATTGACTTATTGTTATGACTTCCTCCAAAATATATTTTTTTTATTAATTTGACTTAGATCAATACTGTACAAAAATAAAGTTTTGGGTCAAACAATGAGACACGGTTTTTATTATATTTTTTCCGTAGAATTGAATGGTGAAATCAGTTTTTCAATTTTTTTTTTAATTTAAATAAATTATCAACAATTACTGAAATATTCATTGCAAGTAATTTTTTTATTTTTTTGCATTTTTGAGCATGTCTTTGTACTGTGAATACAGATTTTTTTATTTCACCAGAAAGTATATGTAAAAAATGATCACCGTCAAAACTCTGTACGATGATTTTTCTAAGTAGAATTTTTCTTTGAAAAAAAAAGTGTTTCAGACCGGAACAAATGAATATCTCGGAAACTTCTTGATTTTTTGAAAGGTATACTTTCACCAAATTTCGACAAAATTAAATTATTTTTGCGGAAATGAGAAATAAGAAACGAAAAATTAAAAAAAATCTGTTTTGCGCATTTTTCTAGGAAATTTTGAGGTTATCTTAAAAAGTGACCTCTAAAAAAGTTGTAGATTTTTGCATGATTTACAACTTTTGTAATGGATACTTTTTTGTTTGACGTCAACTTTCACCATAAATGATACAATCTTTCAAAACTTTTCAACCCCCCAAATCAACCCTCCCCCTCGCTCACGTATTTATTTTTTCCACTTATAAAAGTCCAGGTAACAATTTTTTTTTCCAAGTGTAATTTAGTTGGACTATAGTGCTGATGAGCGCTTTTGTCCAGGAGATGGAAGCCACCCCTTCTAGGGTGTGAAAAATAAGATATTGAAAATACCCCAGGAATCAATAAAGCAATAAATTTTAAGCAAAAAGTATGCTACGAACATTTTTCGATAAGTCAATATTTTCTGAGTTATTGGTGATTGAAAATGTACACTTTGTAATAAAAAAAGACGTTTTTCAGTTGTTTTTTTAATCTTTAGCCGATTTAAAGATAATTAAGGAAAACCATTTGGAAAGTAACAGCTTCAACACACTGTATCTTGAAAACAGGAAACAGGGCGTCTAAGAAAAAAAACTTTACATGAACTGCCCCTATTATTTTTCCATGAGAAACTTGCACACAAGTTTTTTTGAAACATAAACGGGACACCCTGTATAACGATTCATCAACAGGGTGAAATAAGCTTAATTCCAAATTTTCATAAAAATCGGACCTATCCGAAAGTATTCGGAGGTTTTACCCTATTTTTCTCTTTGTTCCCTGAATTATTACCCCGACATTTTCAAAAATAAGAGGCATCAAGTTGTATAAAAATGTTGTGTAGTGCCCATAAATGACTTTCATAGGGTGTATACCGCAAGAAATTGCAGTCTTGTTATGAAAAAACATCGATATCGAAAGGCAGTTACGAGAAATTAAGTTTACAAAACAACAAGATATTAACTATTATCAAATTTTCCAACAATGAATATATTTGTCTACGGTTTCTGTGATGGAAATTCATTGGTGGCCTCACGAAAGTATCTACGCAGGTTTCCAAACAGAAAGCAACCTTAACAGCACGTATTCCAACGAGTTTTCCAAAAAGTCCGTGAGACAGGGAGTGTTAAAATTGGAAATACCAGAATAAGAGGTAATTTGGAAGATGCAAGCATTTTAGAAGAAAATGTAATAGCTGCTGTTGTTGATGATCCTTCTACTAGTGCCCGAAGAATATCAACGCAAGTAGTTATTCCATGAAGCAGCGTCTGGAGAATTTTAAACCGAGAAGAACTGCACCCATACCACCTACATAAAGTCCAAACTTTGCATCTGGTGATTCCGAAAAAAAGATACAATTTTGCAGGTTGTTAAAATATATCGATAATGACGAAAATTTCCAACGAAAGATATTGTGGAGCGATGAAACTATCTTTACGAAAAATGTCATGCTGCCTCCTCAAATTATTGTAGACTGTTTGAATTCAGAGAGATACACGGATTTTTTAGAAAATATTATTGATGACGTTATCTTAGCTTTGCGACATCAAATGTACTACCAACAAAATGGAGCACTTACTCCTAACGGAAGACAGGTATCTGCTTGATTCGATTTACATTTTCCAGAACGCTGGATTGGGGAAAATGGACCTATTATGTGACCTCTCAGGTTCCCTGACCTCAACCCGCTTGATTTTTTTACTGGGGTCATATGAATCAACTGGTGTATGCCAAACCCAGTAACACGAGAGACGATTTACTTAAAAAAATTAATGCAGCCGCCGAGCAAATTCAAGCAACCTTTGATTTGCGAAGGATTTACAATTCCTTGGTCGAATGATGTCGGGCATGCATTGAAGTAAATGGACAGCATTTCGAGCATTTATTGAAATAATTGTTTTCTATTTTTATTTTTAGTTTTGTCATTTTGTTTCTGTTACATAATTTCCAATTTTATTTTTAGTTGTAAACTGTACCTCAACGGTAAACAACTTTGATTGAAAACTTAGAATTTTGAGTGCAAAAAAAAAACACTTTTTCAAAGAATTTTTCACGAATAACTCAAAAACTACGCATTTTATTTAAAAAAAAAGGTGTAATAAACAAAAAAAGCTTATAAATAAACAAAGAAAATCGTTTTTTAAAAAGTATTGTACGTCCTATACAAAGCGAAATATGGTTACTGGAAGGGGACTTGTTTTGGGGGAAAACTAGAATCGATGTATTCAACGTCAAATAACGGAAAAAGGATTAATTTTACGTGTATAACGCTCCTGGAGTTTTTTGTAGTACTCAAAAAGACCTTCAAGATGAGCACTTATAAAAGTTAATTAGAGTAAAATTGAAGAAATTATCGTCAAAAACAGATGGATTGCTCATATTTTTTAAGGAAATATGAGCAGTAAACGCTGTACCATTTCCATCACAATTAAAATTAATCGTAGATCCTTTACAATTAGTTTTGTTTTAGTGTTTTTCATACGATCCTGAAGATGGACCGGTTTAGAATCCGTATTTTTTTAATAATGTACGGTAAAAGTTAAAACGTATTTTTCATTATTCAAAAAAAATTGCCTTAGAAACTATGAAAGATACGTAAAAAATTATATTTAACAAAAATGTAGCTTTTTTTCAACAAATATTTCTTATATTTTTTTTATTCCTATAGCATAAAAAATAAATGAGATATCGCCGCTTGAAGTATTCATTTTAGTGAAAAAACGACCTGTCTCGAGCCCTTCGATCCTTTCCCTTTAAAAAACAAAAGACTTAAAAGGTTTTATATGCAAACGATCTTACAGCTCTTGAAATTATCTGTAAAATGCTTTTTTGTAGGATATTATAGCTTCAAAATTAACCGAGTTATGGTAAAAAAACCAATGAAATTTTTTCGGGGCAAAATAGGTTTTCTCATTTTTGGAGCAAAATGTTAGGATTCAAGTGCGCGTCATCGTGTATAAAAGTTTATATGCAGCATAGCATTTTTTTATGATTGATTATATTTAAAAATCGATTATACTAAAAACATTTTACATTAATGTTTGTAAAAGGGTAGTTTATAAGAGTTGAAAATAGCAAAAGTTAAATATTCTTTCATAAACGATATAAGGGAATTTTTATTTTAAATTATTGCACA